CGATCCACCTCAGGCACATAGGCGTTGATGAAATTCTTCGCCACGGAGAAGTTTTTGTTCCCAAAAGTGCTACTCTGGAGAGAAGGCGTGGGATCAAACGCTTTACCCTTGCCAAGGGCAAGGACCTCGGTCTCTTTGAGGTTCAAATCAAGCTCAACAGGCACAGGCCGAGGTACAAATTCCACTACCTCGTCCCCCCTGACCTCCTCTTCCACTCTCCTCTTTTTCTTCTAAGCTTGATCCACTTCATCCCTCTTCCTCTTGGACCTCAACTCCACCTCCTCTGCAGCTCAGGCTTCTATACTTGGCATCTGCCCTTTCTTTGTGTTACCATCTCCTTTCCCACTTATAGCCTTCTCCAAAGTCTTGGACTTCTTCCTCGGCTTCTTAGGAATAGCCACCCCACCAGCAACACCTAGAAATTTGTCCATTTCAGCTACAAAACAATAATTCTGTTAAAATCTACAAATTAGAACTAAACTCTTACACACATCACACAAGATACCAACACACCTTCGCTCATTAAGCTCGGCCCATACAGCTCAGCTACTTCTATGACATCCGAGCTAGTGAGAAACATAATATCTATTATGTCACCCTCCTTTCTCACCAATTTCTCTACTTCTTCCTCCTCATCACTATTTAAACTATACTTATTCTGGTTGGCCCTTTTAGCCTTCTAGGTAAACAAAACCTCTACTTCCCCATCCCCTTTCTTCCACTCGATGTCATCAACAAAGAAAATTTTTCCTCCCACCTCTTGATGGAGGAAGGCCCTGCACTAAACAGGTTTCTCTTTTCTTTGTTGGACGACCGAGGTGTAAAGCAGTACCACCCCTTCTCCTTTTTACTCCCAGCATTCAGCACAAAAAAATGCTTAAACATATTTACTGTTGGCACCCTAACCCCCCTAGCCAGGTAGTATACTATGAACCCAATTATCACTCTCACCACATTGGGAGATAATTGGGTCAAACCTATACTATACTCCAACAACAACCACACCAACAAATCAAGCAACGGAAACCTAAGCCCTGCCGCCAAATAATGGGCATACACTAGCATCCAATGATCCTGAGGTGCAGAGCATGCCCTTTCTTTCACTCCTGCAAGCCTAATTAATACTTTAGAGGAAATCTCGTAAGTTTCTACGAGATAACTCAGGCTATCTCTACTTCTGAGCTCAAACTCATACCCTTTTACCTCAGACACAATGTCTGCCCCACTATCATAAAACTTATCACTCTTATCTCCCACTTCCAATATATTGACAAGCACCTTTTCTTCCCCAACCTCAACAACTTCATTTCTACCTACCCCTCCCTCTGTACGCTCAAACCCAAATGACTCACCCTCAACACTTACATCGCTGTACTCTAACATCCTTACTTCCTCGCTCCCCCCAATGCTCAACGTTTCCTCAGAAGACATCTTCTTAGTCTTGTAACTTTCACTACACGGAGTAGGGGGAGGGATGTAGTTAGGATCTTCAAAAAACTCTAACTCACGCTCAATATCACTCTCACTCCTAACCCTAACCTCTTTAAGAGGGCTTAAATCTAAATCAAAAAGGGTGAGAGGAGAATAAAATTCACCACTAGAACTTGAATCACAGTAGTTCATAAGTTACTTGATTTCGATAGTGCAAAACAAGTTTTGAATTCGAAAATGTGTCACACAAACACTGTAGCGATTTTGGCAGCACTTTGGTAGCAAATACGGAGAAAGTAAAAGTCATTTTACAGAAGTATAGCTATACATACCAAAGGAAATATACACCTCAACGGCTCTGATTAATTTCATCTGATGGTCGCAGTTACATCATTTTGAATTCGACGGTTAATCCCTAATGAAAATCTCTTGAATTCGACGATTCGTTTTCCATTCCATCCGCTTAACTATAGCAGTTACTTTTTTACAACCCGTATTTATTATGCACGTCTTTCGATAGACAACTGTCATGCCATGCACTAACTCTACGTAAAACTTTTTTAACGAGCCCTACTAAGCCCAATTCAGTATTTTTGTTTCCTTTCATAATAAAATTTTTCAACTTTACAAGTGTTTTACTTCAGCTCCAGCCATTGTGACCCTACGTCACAAATTTTACCTCGGATCCAACCGCAATGACTACGGTTATCACTTGTTACCTTGGCTCCAGCCACAACGACTTTGGTCACACTTGTTACCTCGGCTCCAGCCATTGTGACCCTGTGTCACATATTTTACTTCGACTCTGGCCATAGTGACTCCGTGTCACATATTTTGCTTCGACTTCGACCACTATGACTCTGATCATTACTTTTTACTATGGCTCCGGCCACTATGACTCCGATCATCACTTTTTACTACAGCTCCGGCCACACTGACTCTGGTCATTATTTTCACTACGGCTCCGGCCACAATCATTCTGGTCACATTTTATTTTGGGAATGACCCCATGTCACATATTCCACTCTTAGATACGACCATACAAGAATTTTAGTTATCAATTTTTAACTTCTGTAACTCATCCTTAATATTTTCATTCCTCTTTTTATCTATTTATGCACTACTCCCATTATCTCTAACAACATCATTTACAAGTGAATGACTTCAAGGGGGGAATAGTGTAAGGATAGGTCCAAGGTCCTTAACCTCGGACGTACTGTAACAATTCCTTAATAGTTGAAGTGAAGTTAAATCCTGCACTTCCCGGTCAAATGGCTACATGATAAATACAGTGGACATAGCCACACCTGATCTATCACACACAGTTTCCCAGTCCTAAATTTACCACCTTAAGGGACACGTCACACTCCGATTATCCTATTAAGCAAGTAACGCGGACATCCTACTAAGGCCTATAAATACCCCCTAGGGGCCACCTAAGAAAGGTAATTGGAACCAACCTAAAACTCTTCTTTAATTATTCTAAAAAGGTAGATCCGATTATTGCTGACTTAAGCATCGGACTGTCTACCCTGATGACCCACCTCGGAGCTTTGCAGGTTCATCTGAAGTGAAGACGCGGACTAAAGAAGGACTTCTGATTTGGTGCAATTATAGAAGCTTTGTTCTCTTTTTTAAGAGAACACCCAAACGGAGCTGGCGATATACACCCTCACTTGTCTTGTTATTTCCCAAAATGAAATAGAGCACAAATTGAAGAAACATTAAAGGTAAAATAGTGATCAAGCTCAGCACTTTGATCAAAGCTAAGCATCATTTTTGTCCCTTTCGAGTCTCTCTTTTTTTTTTTTATACTAGCTGATACAGTGTTAACTTTATGTCAGCCGATCATTTCACCTCTGCTTTTTTTTTTTTTTTTCAATTTCTAACTTTTTTTAATAA